GTAGTTAAGACCTTTCCGACACCTAATTTAGATACACTGGAAGTCAAATGAGGAAAAATTATCTTGCTGGAAATAGATAAGGATCTCCAGCTGATGACCTCCTTCTCTTAAGTTAGAGCCAAGACTTCATCATGTAACAGCAAAGATGAAAGGAATGAAGACACACATCTCTGCTGCTTGGGAGACAGGCAGCCCGCAGCCCTGCTCCGAGTTGCTGCTGTTCCTGTCAGTGCTGTGTCCTGCCGCAGAGCTGGCGATGGTCCTTTGGCTCTCTCCCCTGGCCACCTGGCGAGTGGCACATGTGTACTGGCTACCAGGGCACATTTATCGGTAGTCAAGTGCTGTGAGAATCTCAATCTCTATGAGGATGCGCTGTGTAACTGAAATGGAAATGGCACTTAACCTGGCTTCACACAGTGAAGCCCCTTTTTGTTAACCTTTCCATGGGTTCCTTTGTACTTCTCACTTGTTTTTTAATTTTTGTTTGTTTGTTTGTGTTTGTTTGGTTTTTAAATTATCCCCCCCCCTAATCTAGCTGCTAGCTCTAAGTACAGACAGGCTTTTTGTCACAGTCAGACAGTGATTTCAATGTATCTGCTTAAGCACAGCTCCTCGGTGTAGCTTTGTGTGCGTGTGGTTCCTCTCAGTTGTTCTGAGATCGGGTTGTTCTTCCGTAGCGGTGTGTAATCTTCGAGAGGTAAGAATCCCCCCTCTCCCTGGGGATTTCTACAGCCAAGTGTCAGAGTGGCAGGATTCCCACCTGTAACCAAAAATCTCAGCTCATTCTCTAGCTCTGTGCAAGCTTGCTCTTCAACGTGCTGCTTTATGCCGACGTAATTAATTATTGTGTGGGCGAGAAATGTTGTTACTGGTAGTGTTGGAGGACGTGACCTCAGGATAGGGGAGCTTTGGTTACATTTGTAACATATGAAATGGACAAAAGGACACTAAAACATGGAAGAAGTTTCTATCTAGCTCTGGCCCTAGACTTCTGCAATCCCATTGAAAAATCCAGTATTTTGTCCATGTGTGAAAGCCAGACTGACTTTTATGTCTGAAGCTGATGGCTCATGTAGAAGAGTCCAGGCTTAAGTCTTCCTTGGCAAGTAGTAACTTTTCTAGATGTGTGAATGGAGTGAAACTCTGGTGTGAAGTGAGCACGCTTTATATGGAAGGCATTGAGACATACAGAGATGTCGTATCACTGATTTTACATATATAAATATAAACATACCATTTTTATTTTTCAAATAGCTACTATTGTAACTTATAGGAGGGACAGGGTAATGCTGTGTCATCCACAGGAAAAAAATCTGACTGTGAACAGCAGCTCAGAATAAAGATCTGAATATCAAATTTTCTGGTTTGTGGCAAGGGGAATCCCAGCCTGGAGACCACTGTTTTTGTTACTCTTGGACAAAGTCCATCTTGCATAGCATTCACATGAGAGGTTATGTGCCTTGGCACAACTCGGGAAATCTGGGTAAAGTGTGCTGCAGAGAAGGCTGAGCTCTCGGGATCCTCTGCTGATCGACTGACTTTGGAGAATTTCATCTGAGCTGATCGAGGATCAGTGAGCCAGAGACAGTCAGGAGCTGATGAGAAGGTGCAGAGCTGCCTGGAGCATCAGCTCTTGCCGTGATACGTGCAGCAGGGATCTCAGTTACATGTGGAGATTGTCACAGCCAGAATAAGCTAAATTCAGTTTCTGCTTCGTAGAGATAATTCAAATGGCAAGTATTAAGCTTATTAAGTGAAGAAGATCCAAGTGACAGTATCTACTTCTGATCTAATTGTTCTCCAAGAGAGATAGTGCTTTAATAAGCTTGCAGCAGCTTCTGCCTTTCAGCAAATTAAGTAAGTGGGTCATTTCTTCCTTCAGCTGGCTTGAGGGTGAGGGAAGACTGTCACTGCTAAAGCAGATGCAGCTTTTATTCAAGATTAGAGCAAGGGATCTGCTGAGACTTTCTTTAGCCTTGGTGTGCTTATAAGGCAGATGGCCACAAGAAGAGCTTTGAAGGCTTTTTTACTGTGAGTCATACTGCTGCATAGGAAAAAAAATTAAAAATCCTCCTATGAAAAATATTTACTGTGCTGATATTTATAGCAGGCAAAAGCATTTCAGTGCTGCAGGCCTGCCTCTTGCTGAATAAAACAAAGCAAAAGCAGTATTTCACTTCAGTTTTCCAAAGAAGTCTGTCTGCAGAATGTATTTTATGGCAGGGACTGGAATAAAAGGCTGAAGCTGACCGGGAAGGCACCAGTTAATTTCTGTGTCTTGTCTACCCTCTATTAAAATACAGCAGGAAGAGTTCACTGTTGTGCTGCAGCTGGGATGTGTTATTTCCTGAGTAGTATTAAGAATTGCCTTGTGATGGGGAGAGTCGCCAGCCTTCACCCTCCCTTTGCCTTCAAAATTGCCCTGTAAGGACACAGAGCAGCGAACATCTCCTGTCACGTGTCCTGGGCAAAATCAGAATCCCAGCCCTTTCCACTTTGGAAAAGCTCTGCCGTGATGGCAGTATCGTACAGTTCACGCTTTTTCTCCACAGTTTGATTTCTTTTGTAGGAGTTAGTGTTTAAAGCAAGGGTCTGAGTAAAGTGGCATAAGATCATCCAGATACCAAATGCCATCACTCTGAGAGCAACGGTGGGAGTGTGGTAACTGCTATAGTTTGGCTCCTGCTGGTACACAAAGCCTACCATAAACGGTGCCGTGGCTCTGTGCCCTGGGAGTGGTGAAGCAGTACCACACTGATGAACACCCTCAGCTCTCCCTGGGAAAGTGGAGCTGCTTATGCAAAAGTAAAATGGAAATTATGGGCTTCTTGATTGTTTGATTAAGGGGGTTTCGGTTGGTTTTTTGTTTTGTTTTGGCAGGTTTTCTTTTAAATACAGATCCGAGTACAGTATTATCCTTGCTCTCAAGTCAGTTTCCTACCACAAATGTAGTTTCTTCCAGACACTGCCACAAGGGTTTAAATGGAAGCTCCAGCTTCTGGTGTGACTTTTTGTGGTAGGTAAGTAAGGAGTTGACTTACTAAAGGTATCATCTTAGAGGTCTACATTGCAGTGTTGCTTTTAGAAATGTTAATGGACAATTGTATTATTTCTCCTCCTTGCAAAGACCATTTGAGGGAAGATCCTAAGAGGAGACAGCCCTAAAGGAGAAGCCCTGCATCTCACCCCCTCAAAGAGGAATTGAGAGCAGCCAGCACCACGAAAAGGAATCTGTCTCACACCAGGGGGTATGAAATGCTTATGGCAGGGATATGCTTACATCCCAGGCTCGTGAGAGGGGCCTCAGCTCTGCATAGAGGCAGATCACCATCCTTACTCCTCAAGAGTGCGTTGCAGCTGTGCAGCGTAGCACATTTGCCTGAAAGGGAGCTAGTTGGTGTGGGAAATTGGGACTTGTAGTTGCCAGACTGTATTTCATGTACCAGCAACACAAGTATGATAATTTGTAGGCTGTATGAAGCACTTACCCATGGCACTTCTTGCTCTTCAAATGTCATTTTAAAAGAAAGTGACAAATACAGCTGCTGTTGTGAGGTGCCAGCTCTGCTAGGCATGCTTAGCCCTCACAGGGGAACACTTGCACCCTGCTTTGCAGCACTGGCCAGGTTTGTAGCTCCATGCAAGTGTTGGTAAGAGTAATATTCACAGAAATATGGAGTCTAGGCTTCATTTTTAGCTAGGGCAGAGAGCCACTTAACATTGCTAAAGGTAATTCCCTTCCCTCCAGACTTGCTGTAGAATTTGGGCATTTCAAGTTTAAAAAGGAGCATTTGCCATGAAAGCAAAGCAGCTGTGCCAACTTGTAATTAGGACTGCAGGGCCAGGGGAAAGAGGTGGAGTGGGTAGCATCACCACTAACTTGAAGCTCGAACAGTCAATAGTTGAGACAGACTGCCTGCTTCACAATAGGCAAATGAAAAAGATGACAGCAGAGACTTTTTTTTTTCCAAAGGCTTTAATAAACACCTGGAACATTTAAGAGTTACTGTGGGCCTTACTTTACATGGAAGTACTGCTTTATTTTCTCTGCCTCATCTTCCCCAACTATCTAAATGTCAGCCCAACTCCAACTCTCATCCCTCTCCCTACCTCATTTTCTGGCATAGTGGCGTGTTTATAATCCGTATATGCAATACCTGTGTCATACTGATGAGCACCACTCCATACACAAGAGTTACTGTACTAACACAGTTGTACTGTAGCCTTCATGCTTGGCCAGCATTCCCTGGGACACAGCAAGAGGCTCCTGAACACTGCTGCTGGAGGATTTCAAGTCATATGCAGGATCACCAACTTCTCCCAATAAATAAATTTTATCTTCTAACGGGTTCCAGTGTAGCTTTAGATTCTCAAGATAAACAATAGAAAGTCTTTTAACATGAAGATTGGCCCTTCACTGAAACAGCAAGATTGACAAGACTACAAATTAACCATTTAGAAAAGCAACTCTTGAAGCAGAAGAGGAAAAACTCCCTGGTTGGATGTGTGCCTCTGGAGGGAAGCACAGAGATGAAGGTACCAGTCACTGTGTACACATACCTACAGGCTGTGTGTGACAGACACATGCACATTCACTGGGAAAAGTGAGGATATTAATATAAGATGTAGTTGGCCTCGATTTCCTCACTTGCACTTATTGAACAGGGCCTGCCTCACACAGAGCTATTATCCATTCACTTTTAATGCAGTTGTCATCTCACGTCATGTAACAATGAGAAGACAATGCTGGTATGAGCTTAGATTTGTTCAGATCTAAACTGTATTAAACTTCCTTTGTATCACAACAGAAAAAGATGTCAGAGAATCTCACTGAACAGACAAACCTTGCTCCCTTTGGTACTTGCACAAGTTTAATATGAAATAAATAAAATTAGCATGCTGTCAGGGCAAGTTGTTTTACAAACACAAGTGTTTTGATTTAAATACTAAGGCCTCCACATTCATTAGAGGATTTAATTCTTTAGATGTGGGAGTTAGTGAAACAATAAAGCTCATTTGCCTTCCAGTTTTCACACCCCAACATGGCAAGACCACCACAAGAACACCGACTCCTTTCTTCCTCCCATGGAGGCTCCAGATCAAGGGTAACTCCAAACAAGTGCCTGAAATAATGTTTTGTCAACAGTTATTTCCTCATCCTTCAATAGCTTCCAGCTTCAAAAGTTTTCTCTAAGATAAAACTGGTGTGTTAAGACACTGCAATACCAGGTGGCATTCCAGCACATCACAGCAGTCTGTCAGGGTCTTGATTAAAACTAAAGTCACACACCAGGGAGAGGTGATCAGAGGGGTAATTGAATGATGGCAGCCTGTTGGGCCCAATTTGCTCTTCAGTCAGCAGGCCTAGGGCTGAGTTCACATTCAGGGCATGCTGGGAATACCAGATATAATCCAGCGTGTGCCGGCACTCTCCCGATGGCCGGATCTTCCAGGTGGTGTAGGGGGGCTCAGACTGCCCGTCGGGGCTCAGCAGTTTGTATGCGCTGTTTAAGTTGAGGCTGGAGTTGGAAAATTCTCTGTAGACCTCCTCGCTTGGCTCCGCATTGAAGTCTCCACAAATTATCAGAGGGATCTTCGCACCTTGGGTAATACTCTCCAGGTTCTGGAGGAGATCGCAGCCTTGTGCAGACCGAAACCTCTCCCAGCCAGTACGGGCTTTCAGGTGAGTGACGGCAATGCAGAACAGTCTTCCAGTCTCGTTGCACTTCAGCGTCTGAGCGATGGCCACTTGGTTGGTTTTCAGCTTCATGGCGGTAAGCCGGATGTTAGCGCTGTTGACGAGCTCAAAGCGGTCTTTGAGGAAGAACAAGGCGCAGCCGTCCGGCCCGTTGTTCTGCTCCACATCCAGGCACGGGGACCACGGCTTCGGGAAGAAAGTGCACTGGTAGCCCAGTCGGCTGAGGAGTGGCTCAAAGGTGTCAAAGTAGTGGTCGACCTCTTGCAGGCACAAGATGTCAGGCTTGTACGCAAGGATTTCCTCCAGGATGAGGCATTTCCTCTCTTCCCATTTCAGAGCTTCTATGGGACACTGGACAAAGTTGTCTTTGCCTTCTCCAAGAGCTGGAAATAGCAGAGAGGAATAAATAAAAAAGGAGTTACAGATAGCTAAAATGGGCTGTCTTCCTCCAGGCTTTGCAGAGGCAAAGCTCTGCTCTTGGGAGCCAGTAGCCAGTGGCTGCTTGCAGCCCAGCACAAAGCAGGCAGACTTTCACAGTGCAGGAAGTTATAATGGAAAGCAATATGATACGTTTGCAACACTTTGCTTTCTCCATAAAACACGCATGTGTTAGTTTGCATGCAGGTGATGGGTTTTTCAGGAGCAGCTGCTGACTTTACGGGTGCCAAACTTGCCAAGGGGTTTGAGAACCCCTTCTCAAAACACCTAAGTCTCTCTCTCTCAATAAGAGTTCCCTTTACAGATACAAGTTAGATTAAAGACTTCTTCCCCTCTTCCCAAAAGTCACTACACTGTGGCAAGTGTTTCCACACGTGGCTGCCACAGCTTAAGCCTAATTAAAAATACAATGGTATAGGAATGACTTGACTGCACTTTAAGCAGTACCTACCTGGGGGATTGCCCACCCCAAAAGATTTTTAAGTGAGGCTGTTGCATAAGTCAACTTACAGCCTTGACTTTAGGGGTCTGAGAAAAAAAATCAGTTAAAATTATTTTGTAGAATTAAGAATTCTTGTAACAGATCTGAATCCCTGAATAGTTCACCAATACACTAATGAGAAAACTGTAGAGAAGCTTTACAAAGAATAAAATTTACAGAAAGAGGAGTCTTTTCTTGGAGTTAACAAGTATCTAAAAGCAATGGGTCACAGCTTTTTGAATATACCATGCCCAGTTAAGACAGGCATTCAGATGCCTTTGGCATCACCATTGCAAGAAAAGACCTTTTACCCTACAGAACTGGGCGCAAGCCACTATTTCCTGTGCTGAAAATCTCAGTTGTGCCTCACAAAATTCACCTCTCTCCTTTGGCTCTGCCAATCCCAGGCACACCTGACTATGGAGACACAGGTGCATTTGAAGGCTTTCACTGCTGCATTTGATCGCAAGGTTACACCTTGAGCTCAGAGGCAGCTCCTACCTTGGGCAAGGATGTTCCACTGCATGACCCGAATGGGGCGGTGGTTACTGGCAGCATCTTTCTTCAGGTCCACAAAGTCCCTCTGAAACCGGGGTGGCCGTTTCTGCAGGACGATCTGGCATTCCTCCAACAATTCCTTGGGGTCTATTGGGTCCAGCTGTGCCGAGTCCGGCTGCTCCAGGCAGTCCTGGTGCTGGGACACGGCACTGCTGCTCAGCGTCTTGGCAAGTGCGCTGTAGAGCCGGCTGGTGCTGTTTCCCATGGAACACACTGGAAAGGAAAAGCTGGAGTTAGAGATGTCCACCATGATTCTTCCCACCACTCAGGTGCCGATAACCTTGCCACAGCACCAGCAATTTGTGGCCTATGCAGGAGCCTGTTCCTGGATCTGAGATAAAACAAGAAGGATGCAGAGACAGGGTTAGTCCTGTCCACAATCTCACTGTGTTTTACTCATTGTTGGGGGCTGCTCACCTCTGCAGCACACAAACTCTGGTTAAGACATCACACAGGTGTCTTTCTAAGGGAAGAAAGGAGTCTTTCATCCAGAATAGGAGTGTGAAGACTCTGCACATGTTGTAGGAAACAGAACAGAGTGGATTTTTTCTGCCACTTTGCACATCCTGGTACCCTGTGCCTATTTGGGATGCCTCCGGAGCACAGGCCTCCTGCCTGCAGAGTGGCAAGCAGGGTGACTCATTCCCTCAGGTTAATATCTAATAGCAATGTCTGATCGGAGCTTCACTTGCCTCAAAAGCAGCAATGTTTTAATGAGTGTGGAGCGGCCAGATGCTTCTGTTGGCTTAGACCTTGGGATGGGAGTGGAGAAGGGGGTCTCTGCAGCCCTTTCTTTTCAGGGGCTAAGCAGCAGAGCAACCCCTGTCAGAAAGCAGCCCTTGTGACTGTTGTGCTGTGAAATACTTTCTCCTCCCTCTTCACAGGAGCATGGCCAGTGCCACCATGCAGTTATAAATGCCCTGAGGCTGGCTTGCTGCACACATGCAGGAGACTGTTAGCATTAAGGGCTGGGCTGTGAATGAGTCTGTAGAGCATTCATAATATTCCTACGCATCTCTGCAGCAAATCCTTGGCATGGCTGTGTGTGCCCCAAGAGCTCTTCCACCACCCCTAACACTTCCTGGGGAGGGAGGGTTTATGCTCTGAAGTACCACCCTTGCCCTTAGCACTTTTCCAGAGGCTCGGTTTCCCTTCAAACCCAGGCAGGAAGAGCAGCACTTGCATCACAGCAGCTTGCACAAGAGGCAACGCTGACACAGTTCTGTTGTTGTCTCAGCTCTCTGAACACATTTTGCAAAGCTGATCTTCAGCAGAACTTCACCATTGCTTTGCTGTTGGCCCACAGTAGTTTTTAAGTATATTTGTACCCTTGAGTTACTTAGGAATGGAAGAAAGTTGTCATCTCACATCTTGCATGGGGTGCTTTTCAACACACTTGCATGTTCAGCCTTTCCTGGCTTGAACTGCAGCATTGCCAATCATAAGAGCTGGTGACAGACACAGGACAGTGACAGACCTGGCTGGAGGGGAAGGCAGGAAGATGGAAGCCCTAACAGTTCAATAAACATATGTAGAAGGACTAAAAGAGAAAAGAAAACCCCTGCAACAGGAGTCTCATGTCCTTGTCTTTAGAAAAACAGGTACTTTTGAAGACACTAAAAAATAGTTGGTTTAACACACATTTCAGATGTGTAAGCCAATGGAATAATGCCTCTGAACAGTTATAAGAAAGTTGCGAATGGGGAATTTAAACTGGATGTAGGACGTCTCTCTCCACCTCCACCCCCATCTCCATCCTTTAGGTAAAGTACCAGGAGTTTCTTGAACTGAGATGGGGGCTCATAAGCATGAATGTCTTTCTAGGGGAACTGTGCTTAGAGCATTTCAGTTTCTGCAGTCTCTCAGTGCACAATTCTTGTCAAGAAGCCAAGTACAGCTGAAGTAGAAGAAATGGCATTTAATAGCAAGGGAAGAGGGCCCAAACATGAAATCCCTAAGCATGACCCTGACACAGCAGCGAGGGGATGGGAAGCAGGAACAAAAGCACGCTCTGTCCTGGCTGCAGAAGGCCCCAGCTTATGCATCATCAGAGTTGCCAGGCAGCCATGCGGAAACCCAAATAAATCAACAGAGCTTTCAGTGAAAGCTCGACAGGGAGCTCCTCACCTAGTTTTAGGGTAGGCACAACCCATAGTTAAGTGCTGCAGCTGGACAGAAGTACATGGTGCCTTCTGCTATGTCAGGGATGCTGTCAGCAGCTGAGTACGGCCACAAGCCCTACATCTCACACAGCCCTGCCCCCAAAATATGCACCCTTGCCCTTCCTCCTGGCACAGCAGCAGGCAGGCAGTGGGAAGTCCATGTGGAAGTGGCACCTTCTGCACAGCCCCTGCCACGCCATGAATGAACATGGTCATGCTGGGCTCTAAAGGAATAACAGGGAGTTATTCTGCTCCAAGAATACACCAGCAAGAGCCTAAGCTGCTCATTGCTTGATCTGAATCAGAGGGAGGACATTGAAAGGGACAAGCTGGCACCACGGAGAAGTAAGGTGCAATCTGTCTGGAGGCAAAAGTCTACTCTAAAGCTCTGAGCAGCTCACATCTGTTACAGCAGGACAAAGTCTCAGTTCAGTCATGCGCCTGCCAAGCTGCAACCAAAGCCAGAGTACTGTCCAAATCTCATCCCTGGGATCATGGGGTATCCAGCTCTTTATGGGGAGTCAGGCACAGCCTAACCTGCAGGGGATGTGCTATGGCCCAGCTGCAGCACAGATCTGACAGCTTTTAAAGTCAGGAATAAAGAGCTTCTCTCTTCTTTTGAGAGCTCCGGGAAGGCTGGGTGGAAGACAGCCTAGGCTGTAAATCAAACATTTTCAGGCTGGTGGTAGTGGCTCAGCAGTCCTTGGCTGAAGGGAGACTCCTGCAGGAAGACTTCAGGTTAAGATGACTGATGAAGTGCACAGGTTTTTTCCTCCCAGAGTGCCAAAACTGTCACAGCATAGACTGAGTTGTTCAGTAGAACAGCAGCCAGACCGGCAACCTGGGCATTGAAACTCCAAATACAAAATCCATTTGTTATTTTTGCAATACTTAGCATAGCCATGGCAGTGAGACAAGTACGAGGTCATCATTTCAAGCTCCTCGCAGTCCAAGTTAAATGACCTGTAACTTGCTGGGATAGCATCTGCTGCCAACACTGTGACACAGCAGCACTGATGTACACAGAGGAACACAGAGACTCTTGAGCTTGCACTTTAGCAGTGGGTGCTGAACATGGACACGATTCTCTTGGTACGATGTTGCAATAGGGAACACCAGCTCAGCAACTACTGTTCAAGGTACTTATAATAATAATTAAAAAAAAAGCCTTCCTCTCAGTAAGGGTGGTGCCTCAGCACAGTAAGGGCAGGGGAAGTTTAAACCATTCATTAACCTTCAGAAGACTAGAGTGCAAAGTTCAAGGTTTCTTGTGTCATCCAGCAATAGCACGGAAGAGATGAACTTCAAGGATCTTGGGCAACAAGCAGTCATAGACTTTTTTTTTTTAAGGACTTTGTTTCAAAGAGGAGGACTCCAGCATGCAGGCAGACCAAGGGGGTGTAGAGGGGTATTAGAGCCAGGGGCTTTACCTTATGGATAAGGTGAACAGCATTCTGGTTTACCTTCCTTTCCCCTCCTACCTCTCAGCACTGCATTTGGCAGAGAGCCCTCACCTCGTTCCCTGCAGGGACATCGCTCCCAGGCAAACAGCTGCACCACAGCAGCCTGGGCTGTGGCCGTGTCAGCCTCCATGGCTGAGATGCCCTCCCTGCAGCACCAGTTCTAGGAGAAACCTGGCAGAGGCCATCCCCATGTGACAAGTCCTACGCTACAGGGTATCATAGTACACACACAGACTTGTCTGGCCCAACAACGGGATTACAGCCCCGAGCAACCCGCATTCAAAGTGGCGGTTGCTGCGGCTTGGAGTTTCAAGTCCCAATTTTGGCACCTAGGCCAGTCTTATGCCCAGGGGACTCAGGACTTAGTATGGGGACTGGGAGAGCTCATCACAGCAAGGGAGGTGCTGCCTAATCAACAGGGAACACCAGAAGGAGATCACCTCAAATCCTGCCCCAAATAACACACAGAATCAGTGCTTGGCACAAGCTCTGGAAACCCTTTTCCCTCAGGAGTGCTTTATTCATGAGCTCAGCTTTGCCAGCTGCCGGCTCTACAGCACATATGCTCTTCTTCCCTGTAGCTCCATGAAGATTCAGTCCTGCAGTTTGGCATCCTGGCCTAGCTTCAACAGGAAGAGTGAAAGTACCCTGCCCCAGCCTGGCTTGTAGGCCCCTCCTGTAACAGCTCGACAGGGAATGAGGACACTTTACCCTAACCCCAGCTGGTAGCAGAGGATCTACATGCCTGGTAAGTCACAGCATGTCAGATATTGCATAACGGGTGTTGGATGTATCACCTCTCCCACCAGCAGCAGCCTGGAGCCAAGGTGGCCACTGCCCCAGCTTTCATCAGGAGCCTCTCCTCTGGGTATGCATTTTTAGCCACAGAGCCAAGCTGCTTGTCAACAGATGTGGCTTAAGGCTGTAATGGACCACAGGAGCCCAGCCAGTGCATCACCACCCCATTCTGACCCTCACCACAGGTCAGTGGGCAGAGGGGAGGGCAAGCACTGCATGCCAAGGTGTTGTCCTCATGTGGCCTCCAGGCAGAGCATGCATTCAGGGGCACGCAGGACCCTGAATTGTTTCCAAGTCTCATTTTGGGAATGAAAGAATGGCATAATCATTGGTACCTAATGGACAGCTGACAGCTTAGCATTGCTGCCTTTGTCTGCCAGAGGGCAAGCTAGGCTTTTCCTATACACTGTCTCTAGCAGACAAAATCGCACTAGGATTCAAGTACATTCGACACATAGCGCAACACTGGAAGAGAATGGTTCAACTCACTGACAGTTTGCTTTTGGGAGTGGGATAAAGACACTGACTCACGCAGACATCCGAAGAGTTACCTTGCGAGCATTTGGTCTCATACCGAGCAGCCAACCTTCATTTGGGCACAGGGCGAGTCCTGTAACCCAGCTGGTGCTGGCACAGGAGGAAGGCAGCCCTCGCTGAAACCCTTCTGCAGTGCAGGCGGGGTGTCTGGCGACACCTAGCCCAAATGACCCAAGCACTTTGGGTGATTTTGTCGCCGGATGTCACTTACTCGCACTGCGTGTACAAAAGCTACCAGGGGCTTTTACCACGGGCACACACACGGGATGAGAAACCCGAGGTCCCCGTTC